TAAGTGCAGCTCTGCCAGTGGGTACAGCCACACTACCTCAAGTTTGCTGGTTGCCACCTGGCCGCGTGCTTAGAAAAGGAGCTTCTCCCACAGAAAGGTCCAATGCTCCATGGGCAGCCCTGGTTCCCCCGTGGGCATGTCAAGTGGAGACCTGCCCCATGGGGTTCCCAGGATGCCCCTAGTTCAGAGACAGCCGGCCTCACTTCCCCCACTGGAACTGCCCACGCTCCGGCTAGCAGCCCAATGCTCCCCCAGGGCACCACCAGGGTGCCTTTCAAAAACAGGCCGAAACCTCTTGACTCACCACTCCTCCAAGGGAAAGCAGAACTTTAAAGCAAGAATTTAAAACTTTTTTAATGCCACACTGCACTGTGGTCACCCTGCATGGGTGTCACCCAGAGGGCATGCTGAGTCCAATGTCCGGCTTCCAGCAAACCAAGAAAATGCCAGAGAGGCAGCAGGAACTCTCAAAAGACCTTTCAGGAAGCGTGACCCCGCCGGCCACCTGCCATCAAAATGACCGTGCCGAGAGCTGGAGCTCACTCGTGTCGGCGAACTCGAACAAGCACACAGAAAGCACACGGCGCTACCCCAAACAACTGGAGGTAGAAACCCCACCGGGTCTGTGCCCCAAAGAAGTCAGAGCCACAGCAGGAACAGAGAGACTCCCACGTCCCACGTCCCGCACGGCACAGCTCAGTGTCACGAAGCTGGGAGCAGCCCACGCACACGCCCATCAGCAGAGAAAGGACAAAGAAACCCTGGTTGGCCACACGGGGTGGGTGGGGGACCGACGACACTCCGCACCCTACCGGCAGCGATGACCCCATGAGCTCAAACAGACTGGCGGTCCAAGGGGAGGGGGAGATGGACCGCGGACGGGAAAGGAGACGGGTCGGTCTGGGTGAAGCGGGTCCACAGCACCTGAGGATGCGAGTGAATGGACTCAAATGTAACCATTCCCGACAACAAATCCCCTGTGAAAAGTGACTAACAGGAAACCGAAGGCCAAGACAATGCCCTGGCCGTCCCAGGGCAGCCAAGCGGTGGGGGGGAGATGCTGCTCTGGCAGAGACCACCCCCCTCCGGGGGGGCAGGGTCACCCACCCCAAGGCAAAGGTCCACTAGCGATATCATTTCCCTCAATGCCAAAAATGAGGGAGCCACTTGGTGGACAGTGAGACCCCCCTCTTGCACCTAAAGCCCTCTCACCCCGGGGTGGGGACAGCGTGTAGGACACCTGCCCTCCATGGGATGCCCTGGCCAGTGCAGGGCGGAGAGTAACCCGTACAAATGGGGGTGGGGGGCTACTGTTCTTTGCAGATGACTGTACTATGAAGGTAGGAGCCCTGGGAGTAGAGAGGTCACGCTCTGGGCCGAGATCTGCATGGTGGGCAGTTTGGAGCCTCCAGCAGCTCGGCAGGAGAAAGACTGGGCGCTCCACTCCACTGTGAGCCGGCATCGACTCAGCAGCAGGAGTGCTTGGGTGTACACGAAAATGGAAAATAAGTTGCAAATGAATTTCTAAATCGCTCAAGGTTCAAGGGAGTAGCTGGATCCAAGGCCAGCGCCGAATCAACGGCACTTCTGAAGACAAGCAAGAACCCGCTGGAGAAATGCCACCAGGGTGCTGTGCAGCAAGAGTGGCTTGAAGGCCACCAGGAAGAGGAGGAAGACAGGACATGGGCGGGTGGAGGCCGGGGCACGAGGTCCCAGGAGCGTGCTCTGGGGACCCATTCCTGAAGGAGGAATGGCCGGAAGGTCACAAGCCAGACCGAAAGCAGTGTCTGCAGGTCCAAGCCGGACAGAGCAAAGACCCAGCCGCACAGGTGCGGGCGCTGCTCCCAGCGCCCTTCCCAGAACACCTGTCCCCCTACCCCTTGGCAGCCACACTGCAGGCCGGATCCCCACCCCGAGCTGTGCTCACTGACCTGTCCCCGGTTGTTGACCGACCTGGAGCAACAGCAGGCCTAGCAGAAAGCTGCCCGCTACGGAGGCGGAGCAGGACCCCTGGGGCATCAGCCCAGCTTCCCAGTAGCAGCCGAGTGCTTCACCATGGCCCCACCCCGCCCCGCCACCCCGTGCTACTGCCCAGTCACACTGTGTACCCCCATGTGGTTGCATTAAACCCACACCAATGGCCAGCAGACAAGCTGAGTGTGCTCTTCCTTTGGGGTGTTCTAATTCATTGCACATTTCATTATGATATTTGACTCTGTCTTCTCGAGCTGCCTGGGAGGTTTTCTATTCAGCTCCTTGACTGCTTCCTTTCCACATTCAGCATTTCAGAAACTGAAAGAACTCGGGGGGAAAATTCAAGCTACAATCTTGAAAGATTCTATAGGCAAAACACTGAATGATGCAGGAAGCATCCAGATGGAAAGAATGCAGAGTTGTGGTACCAAATAAGACTAGTCGACATTCCACCATTTCAGGAGGTAGCATATGAGCAAGAACCAGTGGTGCTGACGGGAGTTTAAATGGCATTAGCCAGAACTAAGGCTCCAGAATTGATGGGTTACCCACTGAAAAGTTTCCGCAGGCAGAAGCAGCACTGGAAGCACTCACTTGTCTATGCCAGGAAATTTGGAAGACAACTATGTGCCATTCCAAAGAAAGGTGACCCAAGAGAACGCTCACGCTGCAGCGCAGTATCACTGACACTGCACACGGACGACCGGTCACCCCCAACAGCTGTCAGAGCACTGACAGGGAGCAGCCTGAGGTTCAGGAGGCACGCTAGGGACATCCTGGCTGATGTCAAGACACACCTCGGCTCAGAGCACAGCACACCAGAGACACGTGCGCTTGTGTTTCATTGACTGTGGACCAAACATACTGTGGATCCCTAAGGAGAATGGAATTTCAGGACACTGCACTGTGCTCATTAGGAACTTGTGCACGGATCAAGAGACAGTTATGGAAACAGAACAAGGGAATGCTGCATGGTTTAAAATCAGGAAAGGTGTGTCGGGGTTGTATCCTCTCATCAGACTTGTTCAGTCTGTATGATGAGCAAATCATAAGAGAGAATGGATTATATGAAGAAGAATGTAGCATCACGGTTAGCGAGCGGCTTACTAAGAACACGTGGCTTGCAGGTGACAACCTCGCTTGCTGAAAGTGAGGAAGAAATGAAGCACTTTTGCTGGAAATCGAGGACTGCAGCCCGCAGCAGGGTGACAACTCAACGTAAAGAAGGCCAAATCCTCACAACTGGACCAGCAGGTAAATGGAGACAAGGTTGAAGTTGTCAAGGATTTTGTCTTGCTTGAATCCACAATCAATGCTCATGGAAGCAGCAGTCAAAAGATTAAAAGATGTACTGAGTTGGGTCAATCTACTGTGCTGGACCCTCTTTATAGAGTGTTTGAAAAGCAAGGATATTTCTTCCAGGGCAAAGGTGCACCTGACCCCAGCCATGGCGTTCTGCATTGCCTCCTCTGCACGTGAAAAGGGACAATTAATACAAGACAGAGGAAGGATTTCTACATTTGAATTGTGCCAGAGAAGAATATGGAAAGTACCATGGACCGCTGAAAGGACAGACCAATCTGTGCAGAAAGAAGTCTGGCCAGAGCGCTCCTCAGAGGCACGGATGGCGAGACTTCGTCTTCCGTACCGTGGACGTGTTGTCAGGAGAGACCGGTCCCTGGAGAAGGACCTCACGTTTCGTAAAGCGGAGGGGCAGTGAGAAAGAGGAAGGGCCTCCATGAGATGGACTGACGCCATGGCTGGAACGATGGAAAGGCAGCCGGCTGGCACAGGACTGTCACTAGTTCACTCTGTTGTGCAGGGGCAACTCAGTGGCACGTAACAACAACAGGCAGCAAGTGAATTCAACTCCTAGCCAACCTGTAGGACAGATGGAACTGCCACCAGGGTTTCCAAGGCTGTCACCTTCCCAATAAGCACCCTTCAACATGAAGTACACCCCACATACGAGGAAAATGTCTCACAGCTGCACTGCGGAGCGAATCACAATGGACAGGGATGACTGCAGGAGCCAAGAACTTCATTCTACTTGGATCAACAATCAGCACCCCCGATTGTTTATTTCTCCACAGGGAGAGAGGGACCAGACTTCAACCCAGTGCTCCAAGATGTGAATGCAACATGCCGGCATGGAGTAGGGAACCCGTGGAGAGGGCTGAGAGGCCAGCCCCAATCCCAACTATGTGGACAGATGCCCATCGCCCCCGAAGAATTTGTTTCAGAGGACAGCACTGAAACTGCAGCTCAGGG